CCCCAAAACCCCAAAACCCCAAAACCCCAAAACCCCAAAACCCCAAAACCCCTAAATATTAGACCAGAATGGAGACAAATTAAAACATTTTTATTTCTAATTACTCTAAAGATGTCTAACGATGGACTCAACCCGATCGATACGAAGAAAAGGAACTCAATGACCACTGAGAATAACAGAGGTGAGTCTAGAATTTAGGTTATAAATTTAGCTAACAAATCTGAAAACTTCTTTGCAGGAAATATCAAAAATAAACACTTTAATGATCTATCCGTCAAGAACAAGAAGCGTGAGTACTTCGGACGGGGGTTTAGACTTTTTTACCTCAGTTTTTTGTCTCTGACTGGATTTATAGCGACTAGTTTCAACCTAGACCGCAATAAAGACCAGATTATAGAGGAGCGAAGTGATGATGGCGGCAGAGATGATGAACATTTAGATGAGGAGAATAGAGAACACGGCTCTTGTGATGTAAACTTCCTTGATAATTCCTAGGTTTGTGGTAAATAAAACTCAAAATTGATGCCCTTGTAACCAAGCCTTCTATTGTTCAGAGGCTCATCAAAAATCTGACTGGAAGAGACACAAGAATTTGCACAAAAGTATCATGGGTGGTATCAAGAAGAGGGTAATTAATGCTTAATAAATCCTAGAAAGAAAGTGATACTCCTATTCAGCTTGAAAAGAGGCGACTAACAGTGACTCAGCCAATAACGTAGAATTTTTAGTAACTCTTTAGATCAAATAGCCTCCAAGTTCCAGAGAAGAAGATCCCTAAGAAGAAATACAAGTATGCTGATCAATTTAACCTTGATGAGGAAAAGGCAATGAAGAAGGAGAGAAGATGGGAGATGATCCTTTATTTCCAGTACAAGAAGGATTACAAAAAGATGCTCGAAATGGCAGTCAGTTATTATAACGATAATAAATCTGACACTGATTTTATCAACTGTCTTCTATATGCAAAAGCACTAATCCTTCGGAATCGACATGATAAAGCAAATGAGATTCTGAATGAATGCTTTGAGATCATGAGCAGAATCAAGCTGTCTTATAAGGATATCACTAAGAATGTCAAGACTGAGAAGAAGGAGAATCAGCTCGATTTCTTCGATGAACAGAGGACCATAACTAAAAACACAGGGAAGTCTGTCAAAATGTCCACATGGAACTATTTCAAGATGGTTTTATCTGCATATGCCACTCTAGCTGCTCTTTATAGCCATATAGGTAACCAGAAAAGCTCTGAAGAGGTTTACGGCATCTATGCTTCTATAATCGAAAAGTTTTATGGCAACAACAGTCTTGAATCAGGCCATTGATTCTACTCTATTGGGGTATTTTACATAGAACAAGAGATGTATCATAAGGCGTTAAAGTGATTTGAGAAAGCTCTTTTTGTCATGGAAAGAATCTTTAGGACCCATCTCCACCCATCAATAGCAGATTGTCATTATTTCCTCTCAGTCATCTTTAAGCGTCAAAGACTGTTTGAAAGAGCAAAGGGAGAGATTAGAAAATGAATCGATATCAGGAAAGAAGCTATTGGCAAGGATTCTCTTCCTCTAGCTCATGCTTATGAGCATTTAGCAAAAATTCTCTTCCAGATGAAGAACAAATCGAAGGTGCTGGAGTACATCAATATGGCATTGAACATATGGAGAAGTAAGGTGACCAATCCAAACCATCCTGATCTATTAAGAGTCTCAATGCTAGCACTAATCTTTGCAAAGGAAATTAATAAAGAAACTGAAGAAAGACAGGAGAAAATCAAAAATGATAAAATAATGCAGAAAGAAGATGCTTATGATGATAGCTTCATCACGCCTCTAAATTTATCTAAGCTGCTAAGTGCTAAGTATAAGGCAGATCAGGAGGTCAATCGGGATATTAAGCATGATAATAGTCAAGAGAATCACCCCTCAGAATCCAATAACTCCTATTCCCGTATAATCTCAGAGCCGAGGAACACCTCTCATATCCTAAAGGATGGGTTTGATAATGTGATGGGATTATTTAAGATAGAAGATAAAGGAAATGCTAATTCATATATTGTAACATTTATCTTAAGTCTAACTGAGAACCAACTTGAAGTTCTGAACCACAATATGAATCTCATTAATCCTGGACCAAGGACGACTATCCAAGAGATTGATCTAGACTTTAAGAATCAACTGAAGCCCTTCCAATATGAGTTGTTTAAGAAGTCTAGAATATGGACTATTCCGAAGGATAATTACCTAATTCTCAATAAAGAGAATAGCAGGCTTTCACCAGAATTGAGGAAAAGGCTCCTGCTCAACTCTGAAATTACCCCTGGAAACTTATTAATCATTGAGAATTCGCCTCATTATGACCAAGAGCTTCTGGCGAGGGAACAAGAGGAAGATGAGAAATTCTTAGATATGATGAGACAGAAGACCGGATCTGAGATGCTAAAGTTCCTTCTACCTGAGCAGTTAAGGATTTTCGAGAACATTATTTTGTACAAATATCCTCTGAAATACTTCACCAATACAATTAAGGAAAGCCAGGTAGATGCTTTTAAACAAGAGATCAACGCTAGCTTCCAGTCCAACCAGGTATATAGCAATGAAGATGACTATTTTAAGGAAGGTGAGCAAGCAAACAGCTATTTTGAAGACGAAGATGATGAAGTGAACCCTCAAGAATACGCAGATGCTATAATCCAAGGTATAAATAGCATCCAAACATTGGAAGTCTTTACATACTTAGACTTCGGGATTGATTACCCTCCTGACTATTTCCAAGTGAGAGAGTTAGATGAGCTTAAAGAAGATTTTATATCATTTGTGAATAAACTCACTCCTTCCCAGGTCAGACAGATTTATAAGAAAAATCCTATTCTAACATCTGAGTCAATGATGAATAGTCTACTTAACAAACAAAGTTTTGGCAATGAAATGAGTCAAGAATCTCAACATGAACTCTTCTTGGATAATCAGAGCAAAGAGGAAAGTAAACATGACCTCACGGAGGGTGAAGAGGAAGAACTACAGGACAAGTTTAAGTACTTTGATGAAAAGAATATATCCACTGATAAAATTAAGATTCAGGATAGAGAAGAACCAAGCGAGAGTTTCCATCCTTTAACTAGGGCAAACCCTAAGACCATCTCTTCGATAGGAAAGTTCACAAATACCGAAGGAGATGACCATGAGAACCTTTTTGAGGATCTGAACAGGGAGCTTAATCCTGATCATCACCCTGCTACTCCTACAAAGAGGTATTAGTCGTTAGAGAAGATAAGGATCTATGATGCTAAGAATAAAATTTCAATCCAGATGTTACCTCTTGGGGTTTTGGGGTTTTGGGGTTTTGGGGTTTTGGGGTTTTGGGGTTTTGGGG